AAACATCCTGAAACCCATCCTGTATCGGCTTTAGTTTTTAAAATCTTCGATGTCCATTCATGGTACCAGTCAACCCTTTCTTTCATTTCGTTATCTTTTTCATCCACATATTCCTTATCCGCCTTCTTCACTAACACACTAGCCACCCATCCCTTATCTGCTTTCTTTTCAAGGCTAACGTTTAAGTCTGTTATTTCAGATATAGAATGTGTATGTCCAACGGCACTTTTCATGTTTAAGGTTTCTTGTAAGTCTGTTATTTCAGATATAGAATGTATATGAGTCTTTTTAGAATATTCGTTTTCAGCTCTTGTCACTTCACTTGACATTTTATTGTCAACATATGTTTTGTCTGCTAGTTCAGGATGAGTATGTTCTTTTGTTGCATAAGCATTGTTAGCTCTTTCTTCTTCTTTTGCTATTGCATCGTCTACATATTCTTTGTCAGCTTTGTTGTCAACATCTGCTTTCAAAAGAAGTTCATTTATAGGTTTCTCGTTTAAAGTTCCTTTTGTTGGATTTATACAGACAGTATGGTTCTTATTGTCTTGAAACAGAAACTCATCTGTCATTGGGTTTAATGTCAGTTTTAAGTTTCCTTCTTTCAATGACTCAGATATCTTAGAATAGTTTGAAAGGTTTGTTGTGTTCTTATTTAGAGCTTGTATAATGAGTTGTCGGTTGTGTTGTATTTCTCTCATAGACGCTGTTTCATTTGACATTTTTATTCTAGATAAAATATGCTTTCAATAGAAAAAGAAAATTCTAGAGTTGCTACAACTAAACCATTAGATGAACTTTTTACCAATGTAGGTCAAAAGTTTGAGACAGAGACCGTAAAGCATGAAGGCTATCGTTTTGACTACCCATTGAGATGGTTAAGAGACCCATCCGTCACAAAAGCTATTGGCTTTCGTAGAATGAAGTTCATTTCAGAAGCCATACATGGTTTCCCATTTACGGTCGGTTTGAAGTTCGATACTATAACAAAGAAAAACGTACGTATGAGAAATTTGAACAGGGAAAACTTTTACAAGTTAGTTTGCTTGTAAACTTAGAAACAACTCTTCAAGCTTTTCAAGAAAAAATAAACGATATCTATCTCGAATATGCAAACCAGTATAACATTGACGAAGGAGAGTACCATCTCGATATTATATATGACAGGAAAAATGCAACTGTTAAAATCAATAGAATAGAAGACCTTGGAGAAAACGTTATATTTCTACAAAATATAACAACTTGGCATGGTATAGATTTCTGAGGATGTTAAATCAGCCTGCAGAATATCCAGTACACCCGGACTTTTATGAAGTCGAAAACCCTAATGGAACATATGAAAATGTTTTCGACTCAGATGCTATTATTGTTCATGCTTCATTTTCTGGCGCCCAAAACTCTTTTTTATGCTTGGCAAATGACTTTTACGAAAAACCTACAAAGCTATATGAACCACCAAGTGGAAGTATTTCAGACTTTCAAGTATGGTTTACTACAGATGGAAGAAAAAGAACAATTCCATTATACCATGCGTTTTACTTAGAACTTAGTTTCATATACAACTACTATCGAACGGTAAAAATATAATTTTTTAATACGGTTGAGGTGTTGGATTTGGTTGCCAACTTGACTGTGGTGCAGGTTCAGGCTGTTGTATAACAGGAGCTTGTTCTTCTGGTTCAGGGTCTTTAGGTATAATACCAACAAACTGACCTACTCTTTTACCAATATTTTTGACTCCGTTCCAAATTCCTCTTCCTACGGTTTTTATTCCATTCCATATACCTCTTCCAACTCTTCTGAAGAAGTTTCCAATACTACTGAAGAAACCCATTTTACTATATGTAAAAATCTAATGTCCACCTAGTCTCTTACGTTTCCTGTTGAGTTCCATAGCATTCTTTAACTGGAGCTCATACATTCTGTTTCTCCTCTGGTAGAAAACATATTCTGGGTCAACTCCTGTGTTCGCGTCATCTGCATAGAGTTGTTTATATCCCACTTCGGGGTTTGTATAAAACTCTTTCCATCTCATATTTGCATACCATGGTGGCAAACCTAACGCAGCGTCATTTGACATGGCAGTTTGCATTTGTACATCTGTTGGCACTTGACCATAGTTTGCCATTGCAGTTTGTATTCTAACTTCATTTGGAATATTCTCTGGGTTTGGTTGTCCAGGTTGCTGTGCATTCGCTAAGTTCTGTGCGTCCATTTAATATTAGATAAAAATATCTCTTACGAGTACATATACTGGACATTTGCAGGCATTGGTTCATCTTCATATTCTCTGTATTTTTCTGCCACGTCAAATAAATAAATGACACAATGGAAAAAACCTAAAACAAGTAGTCCTATTTCAAACCACATTTACTTACCAATAAAATTTCTTTGTTATGACACTTTCTCCGGTTTATAGGACCTCTCTCATATTCTATCTTGTCATATCTAAACTCATAGTCATGTATGTCCTCTAACCATTTCATAACGGTTTCCAAACCACTTTTATCGGATGTAAAGTAAAAGCATGGACAGTTATGTAAAACGTCTAAAGTTTCTAAAGAGTCTCTCAAAGTCCAGTCTACTTGGTATTGAAAATCCCATGTGTTATAGAACGGCGGGTCCACTATAAAGAAAACATTTTCCTTGTCTTTATATTTTTCATACAACTCTGTCCAATGACATCTCACAAACTCTATACCCTCAATATATTTTTCTATGTCCTCTTTGAAAACATTTGTATAGTTAAGATATAAAACATTTGACATAAGTGTTTCAATGTCATGAACTCTTATAGAACCACTATATAATAGTCTAGCAGATATACTATCCCAGTCTATATATTCTGCTTTTTTCAAAACCTCTCTCACAATATTTTTCTTATCTAATGGTATACGTTCCATCTTACCTATAGGTATCTTTTCTTTTAACGCTTTCAATATATTGTTTGTGTCTGGTATATGTTTGAGACGGTCCATATAGTTGTCGAAGTCATTGCATATAATCTTTGAGTCTGGGAATATTGTATGGCACAAATGGGATATATAGAAACTTCCACCGAACAAATCTACAAATGTTAGACCATTCGGTAGTTTCTTAAGTTCTCTCAATAGAATATCTTTACATTTACCCTTATTTCCAAAGAACGGTAACGGTGGTTTTGTAAAATTCATTTATATATAATAATAAAAATGTTTTTTCCTGAAAAGTGACAGAAAAGTGACAAAACATGAAAACATATATAATTTGTGAAAAGCTCCTGGAAGACCCGTATATAAGAACTTCATTTATACTAAACATCTTCAGGGCTAGAGTGCGCAACGCGCCTGGAAGCCCTCCGAATAAAAACTTCATTTATACTAAACATCTTCAGGGCTAGAAGGGGCGCAGCCCCTGGAAGCCCCACTACCTTTTTTTTTTAATTATGATTGTTTCTGTGAAGAGATCTCTAATGTAATTTTGAACATTATCATCATCTCGAGGGTGGTGAATTTTTAAAAATGAAGTGAGGTAAAATTTATATAAAATTGACATCCGATACGATGAATCGAATTCCAACTATTGGCCTTGGAACATGGAAATCTCCAAGATCTGAAGATCTTGTTAATGCTATTACTTATGCCATCAAAGAAGCTGGCTATGTTCATATAGATTGCGCCTTGTGTTATGAAAATGAGGATATTGTTGGACAAGCACTTCAGCAATGCTGGGACAGCGGCATAAAACGCGAAAACATTTGGATTACATCCAAATTATGGAACACACATCATCGCCCTGAGATAGTTGAAGAAGCATGCAGAAAAACACTTAAAGATTTACGTCTTGATTACCTTGATCTCTACTTAATGCATTATCCGTTTGCATTCCAGAACACTGGAATTGGCGGTAGCCTTAATCCTTTAGATGAAAAAGGAAATACAATTTTTGATGACGGAGTCTCCTTAATTGATACATGGAAAGCAATGGAGAAGCTTGTAGAGAAAGGTTTAGTAAAGAGAATTGGCGTTTCAAACTGGACAATCAATCAGCTCGAAAGATTGAAATATTCCGACGCAAAAACAACACCCTACACAAACCAAGTTGAATTCAACTTATACATGCAACAAGGTCCACTCAGAGAATACATGCATAAAGAAGGAATTATCGTTACAGGTTATTCTACTCTTGGTACACCAGACTGGGCTAAACCTGATGAGCCAGTTGTCCTTAAAGATGAAGAATTAAATAAGATTGCTGCTGAGACAGGTAAATCAGTTGGTGAGGTTGAATTAAAGTTCCTTCTTACTATTGAACCTGGAGCTTCTTTACTTGCAAAGAGTGTTACTCCAGAGAGAATTTACAAGAATAATCATTTGGACTTTGAGTTAACAAAAGACCAAATCCAAAGGCTTCGCAATCGTGAAAGATTCTATCGCTATGTTGATCCAAGGAAGACTTGGAAGCGCGATGGAAATGGTGATGGATGGTAAATTGATTTATATTATTTTCTAAACAGTTATTATTGTGTTCAAATGTTTTTATCTTTTTAATTTGAAGAGTAAATGTTTTCATTGATGTGGAATTATGAAGTATCATATGGATTTTAATCCGGAATTAATCATTATCCATTCGTTTATCCATAAATTATTGCTGAATATATTGATTTAAATGTGAAAAATTGAAAATCTCTTAGAATAGCATTTAAGGTTTGATCCTCATAGCTATATTATGTCATATGGGTCTATTCAAAACTTTCTATTACTCACAATAAATCACTAACAATAATTTTAAACATATCTTCAATAAAAATAGAACAATGTATATGCAATTTTGATAAAATATGCCAAAAAATTAACTGTCATTCAAAATAGGATAAATCAATAATCAATTGATAAGATTTTTCAAGATTTTGTTTGAAATCTTGAAAATATCATTATTCATGAGATGTGATACCTGATTTATTACAGGTATTGATAATTAAAAAGAATAATAATGGAAATTAAACAATAAAATAAAATTTACTAACAAACAGGGATTAAATGGGAATCATCAAGATGATCCATTGAGGTAGAAAGTTTAATTCTAGAGTTATTCAAGCATCTGAATTGAAGAGATCCGAACGAACGTTGAGATTTGATACATGGTTTAACAATGTTTTTAGAGAACCGTGCGCATTTGTAGAAAAGTGAACAACAACCGCCAGACGATTTACCATTTTCCTTGAAATATGGCATTTGGAGAATTTCGTCTGCGGTAGGTCTTTTTTCTGGATCTCTGTCAAGGCATTTAGAAATAACGGCAAGCAAGTTCTTATTCTGAACTTTATCAGTAGCGAAAAGTCCAATGCTTATGCATTGCTTTAATTTTTCGATATCTGGAGCATTAAATGGATAAGTTTGTGTAGCTAAGAAGTAAAGTGTTACTCCTAATGACCAGATATCAGACTTCATTGGAGTGTATTTCTTGCAATATACTTCTGGAGCCATAAATAATTTTGTTCCTTTAGCCATTTTGCATGAACAAGAAGATCCATTAAAAGAAGCAAGTCCAAAATCACCAATTTTTACTCTTCCGTACGTATCGATAAAGAAGTTCGCTGGTTTGATATCGCAGTGAGCGATGTTTTTATCATGAACTGATTTGATGGCTAAAACTGCATCATGCGCATATCTGTAAATGTCTTCTTCATATAGTTTTCCACCAGCAGAGAAGACTTTGTAGAGATCTGTTGGGCAATATTCCAGAACCATGTAAATGAAGTCATTGTAACGGTATATCTGATATAATCTGACTATCCTAGGATCGTCAATCCTCATCAAGCAGTCTAATTCTGCTTGTGAAAAGAAGCATTTGGGAATCTTTTTGACAGCAAAGTTAGAGTTGAAATTAGCTGAGTGTACTTCATATATAACTCCATATCCACCTTGTCCAATGATCTTTATAAATTCTAATCCATTCTGCTTGAAGAACTCAACTTCTTTCTCGTCCATAATCTGTTCTGTATACCTTTTCAATTTTTTCAGATAGAGATTTAAGAAAACTGTTTTCATGGTAATTCAAATTTGTCAAAAAAATTGAGATCATAATCTAAACACTTTTTACGAAATTGGTATAGAAATATTTATTATTGTGTCTAATAATTTTTTCTTTTTATCTATATTTTTACACCGCTTTCAATTTTGCGCCAGGGATATCTAAAGTAAATGATGGTAATATTTTAAGACATATTCTCTGGGGTTAACATAATTACAATGACCCACTTGTCACATTTGTGCACGTTGAAGGATAGTGTTTATTGCTGTAGTACAATTAAAATTTACATAAATTATCATCAAATAAATTCTTTGAATACTTAGAATTGAAATTTGAAATAAACTTTTTACAGTAGAGTCTTTACACTACTTGAGGATAAATGAAACTATTATATGATATATTAACACTTTCTAAATGATCAATGAAATAACGGGCAGTTATGAATAATGAAAAAAAATAATCGTCTTTCGACGAAAAATGAAAATAATCGTCAAAATCACGACGATAGAGGGTGAGATTCCCAAATATTGGTTTTTACAAGGAATGAATATATCCTCAGATCAGAACTCATCTAGGATGAGGTATTTATTAAGTTTGTTCATAGATGTATTTCTTATATAAAATCATAATTATGAGATATATGTGATAGATCTATTATTGTTTGGAATCTTACAAAACTCATTCTATAAGTTGTATTTATATATCAGAAAATCCAATAATATAGTAAGATATCTATTTTTCAAATAAATTTCATTAAGAAGAAGTGTAAATAGAATGCGAGCATCATAATCTTAAACTACATATGAAAGATAAATATATTGTTATGAAAAAAAGGTTGAAAAATGAAACCAAAAATATAAATAAATTTTTATTCATAAAAAGTTAAGAAAGTATAAGGAGGATATTTCTTCCCCATGGTGACGGCATATGTCATTGATGTAAGTATGTTTTCGACTAAATTCATAATCAAAATTTGTGTAAGTCACATTTTTTAAAGTAAGTGATTGTGGAAATGATTCTCCAGTATAAGCTGAGTATTAAATTGCTTGAGATTTAGAATAATTTTAAATCAAATATAAGTAGTATATGTGGATGGGTTGTGTGACTTTTTTTGTAAACGTAAGAATTCATACAATATTGAACGATTTTGTATCATTTTTTTTGACATATGAAGTAAAAAATGTATGATTCTTACGGTTTTTATTCTTACGTTTTTGAATAAATCAAGATTTGAAAATTTTGAAAATTGTAAGACATTTACACTCAGCCCATACATAATGAAATAAAAAATAAACACATTAAAAAATTAATATTAATTTTAAAATAATTTATTTTTTATCTTTTATAAAAGAAGCTATATATATAGATGATGTCAGATATTCCGCGATTAATTAAACATTGTTTAAATCCTGAATGGAATCAATGGAGTCATAATCAAAGACCTCATAAACGAGTAAAAGAAATTAGATATAATTATTTTCATGAATGAAAAATAAACTTTAAAAATTCATGTCTCACATTTTTGAATAATTTATTTTTATTTTTAATGAAATGAGCGTCAAGACTAACGATGTTAAAAAATTAGAATTCACAAACGAGGAAATAAAGGATATATTAGAGGAGGCGGGTTATGAGGTTGATAAATATTATTTTAGAAATTGTCAAAAATTCGCGGAGTTTTTAAATGAGTTTGATTATGATGGAAAAATGAATAAAGATGATGTTATAAATTTCTTATATCCCACATCTAAAAAGGGAAAAACTAAAGAACCTGATGTTTTCCCTGAATATTATGAAGAACGGATTAAAGATGATGAATATGATGAAATTGAAAGACTGGAAAAAATAAGAGATGAAATAGATGAAAAAATTAAGGAATTAAGAGAAGTTGAAAAATATAATGAAAATGAAGTAGAGGGTTTAATGAATATCCCAGCTTCAGAATCAGCAGTTCAGAAATCTCATGAAGAAAGATATAAAAATTATGTCTCAGAATCAACACAAAATTTATTAGATGGTGAAATAGATGAAACACTTTCAGAAGAAGGTACTAAATTTATTCGTAAACATAAGTTACAATTTATTGATAATGAAAAATACCCTTGTATCTTACTTTCACCCCCTCTCGATTCTGAGAAATTCAAAAAAGCTCTTAAAAACATGACATATGCAACTAATACGATTAAGAAAGAAGATCATGATATTTACACAAATTATTATTTAAATAAATGCACAGGTGTTGATAAAGTTTTTGATTTATTAGATAAAATATCAAAAGAAACCATTGGAACCTATAAAATTTTGTGTGATTGCGGTTTCATTATTGAAGATACTAATAATGTTTCATATGAAAGAACAGCACCGAAGGAAGACGAAGTTGAAAGGTCTATACCATTCGTTATTAAGAACATAAAAGATATGAAAACTTATAAACATTATATTTATTCATTTATTTCAGAAAAAATGGAAGCAACCCATAAAACATCTTCTCATCATTTTATAGCTATTCATACATTCCTTTTCAAAGTTGTGAAATTAAATAAGACAGGAATTAGATTTAATGTATCAGGGTATGCATTCTTGAGTAAATTAAAATGTATTCGTCACGTCGCAGATGATAAAAATTTATGTGTTCTTAATTCATTTTATGGGCTTTAAAAAATAAACTTTATTTTTTTTATTCTTACATAAATGAACAAAAACGGAACCGCTAAAATGAATGATAATCAAATTAGAGCAGAAGGTAGAAGGTTATTTAAACGCTTCTATAACATTCCTGATGGTGTTAATCCTAAAACTCGTAGAAGCTATTTAAATGAAGCAATAGATGCATATGAAGGGTTTGACATTTCATCAGAAAGTGAGAGATTAGCGAGAATGTTAAATGTTAATATTGATTTCTATTATTGTGATCCTCAACCAGAAGACGTGGACATAAATAAGGTAGACTTTCCATTAGTGGAATCAATAATGATAGATCCAGAATTTGAAACAGTAAATATTTTATTAACACAGAGTCCAAATGGAAAACTTCACGCTGACAGAATAACAGACGTTGAAGCACTCACCGGCTATAGAGTTTGTCCATATTGTAAAGAAGAAGTTTATTCTATCCGTGATGATCCAGAAAGGAAAAACCAAAGAAGATTTTTAAAGCATTGTGAGAAATGTAAAGAAAATAATGGAAGATTAATTCAAGACGTTCAGTTGCAAAAGACACAGCAACCATATGCACCACATATTACGAAACAGAAGATATATCAGTGGTTATTAGCTCATAATTTGCAGGAATATTATCAACCGACAAGATATTATATTACTTTTGACTTTGAAACATTAGAGACTAAAGAAGAATTACAACTTTCTGAGTGTGCAACTTTGAACGCTTACTTAAAACCATTCATGGTATCATCAACGGTTAAATTAAACGATAAAACATATACGAGGAATTTTTGCTTAACTTCGAGTGATTCTTTTATTTCTGATTGGATTGAGTTTTTATTTTCAACCTGTTCATTAGTTGCTAAATCAAATATGAGTCAATATGAAGAATTAATGAAGTCGCAAACGGACCAAACGGTGGGGACTTTGTCTCATACATTAAATGAAAAACAGAAGGAAGCATTTAAAGAACTTCTAGATGAGGAATTCAATAAAGTGAATATCATAGGTTTTAATTCGGGAAAGTTTGATTTAAATTTAATTCTTCGTGATTTAAACACTGCAAAATGGAAAATAAAATCAATGCTGGGTTCATCTTCTCAATTTAAGCAAATCATTGTAAAGAAAACAAACGTTCCATATGAATTAAGATTTATTGACATCAGAAATTATATAGCGGGTGGGACATTAGACCAATTCACTCAAGATTTCGGAAACAATAAATCACGTTAAAACCGCTTCAGGAGGTCTTCACATTTATTGCAACACTAATTTCTTCTATGCAGTTTCGAACAGAATGATTAAATGTTATTCCTGCAATGATTACGATATTGACATAATGACTTCTATTGATGATTCAAAACGTTCTTTAGTAGTTATGGCTGATTCAAGAGTTCGCAAGAATGCAACAGAACCAATCAATACATACTCATTCATTCGTGGAAGTTATGATTCAACATTAACCAGAACAGTGAATGATATATTAAATGATTTGAATATTAAGGTAAGAGTTGAACAAAAGAACGAAGAAATAAAGAGTATAATGAATGAAAACAAAGATGTAAACATTGACGATAAACTTGCCCAGAGCATAGTTGATGGCATCTGTGATTTTGAAGTACATAATGACGGTGGAAACATGAATTTAGAAAAAGAAATAACATTATTCACACTGTTTCAAGCTATTAATTCGTTACCTAATCATTTGATTAATGAAGCATACGATAACGTTTATAACTTCTGCAATTTAACTGAAAATGCAAAAAGTAATTTTGAAAAAGCACGTAGTAGATATGCACATTTAATGACTTCTCCATTTGTTTTGGTAAAGATTCTAAAACTATATCAAAAGGAATATTATGATGAATATGTTTTACCTTTATTACGTAAGCCAAAAATAACATTTGATATAAAACTTGATGATTCATTCTTGATAACAGATATTAGACGCAAGGCTGAAAATCATCAGTATAAAAACAGTTCTGAAGTAATTGAGGATTTATCACGTGTAATCCGTTTTGTAGATTGTGGAAACAAATACTTCATTCAGAAAGATTACAACATCCACGACAAAATGAATCAAATATCATTCGTTCTTCAGTCAAACATGAAAGAGTCACTCAAAATGATTAAATTATTTAAAGAAGAAGGTAAAACAATAACAGCATGGGACGTACTACTAAATCAATTGTCTTCATTAACCGTTAAGGGTGTTTGCTTTAAATCTGATTCCCCAGATGTTTTCTCAACGTTTCAAGGTTATAAATACAACGTTCTCGAAAAAGTAGATTACTCA